AGGTCAATGTAGGTGTACTTGTTGTGCCCCAGGGGGAGTGTAGGTGTACTTGTTGTTCCTCAGGTCAATGTAGGTGTACTTGTTGTGCCCCAGGGGGAGTGTAGGTGTACTTGTTGTTCCTCAGGTCAGTGTAGGTGTACTTGTTGTTCCTCAGGTCAGTGTAGGTGTACTTGTTGTTCCTCAGGTCAGTGTAGGTGTACTTGTTGTTCCTCAGGTCAGTGTAGGTGTACTTGTTGTGCCCCAGGGGGAGTGTAGGTGTACTTGTTGTTCCTCAGGTCAGTGTAGGTGTACTTGTTGTTCCTCAGGTCAGTGTAGGTGTACTTGTTGTTCCTCAGGTCAGTGTAGGTGTACTTGTTGTTCCCCTGGTGAGTGTAGGTGTACTTGTTGTGCCCCTGGTGAGTGTAGGTGTACTTGTTGTGCCCCTGGTGAGTGTAGGTGTACTTGTTGTTCCTCAGGTCAGTGTAGGTGTACTTGTTGTGCCCCTGGTGAGTGTAGGTGTACTTGTTGTTCCTCAGGTCAGTGTAGGTGTACTTGTTGTTCCTCAGGTCAGTGTAGGTGTACTTGTTGTTCCCCTGGTGAGTGTAGGTGTACTTGTTGTGCCCCTGGTGAGTGTAGGTGTACTTGTTGTGCCCCTGGTGAGTGTAGGTGTACTTGTTGTGCCCCTGGTGAGTGTAGGTGTACTTGTTGTGCCCCTGGTGAGTGTAGGTGTACTTGTTGTGCCCCAGGGGGAGTGTAGGTGTACTTGTGCCCCAGGGGGAGTGTAGGTGTACTTGTTGTGCCCCAGGGGGAGTGCAGGGTGTGTGTTGTATGATGTTACTTGGCCATGACTGTGGTGGTGTGGCCAGCAGCTGACCAGCGCCACAACCCTCCCGCAGCGTTGCCGTGGCAGCCTCGGAGGATCTACATCATGCCTGGCCTCTGGCTCCTGGTCACCCTCATCCTGGGCAACGTCTACCGCTCCAACCTGATGGCCATGCTCATCCTGCCCAGGATCCGCCTCCCCTTCGACACCATGGAGGAGCTGGCGGCCTCCACCATTCCTGTCGTCGTGCCTGAAGGCAACGGAATCCACCAGGCCATCTTGGTACGGCTCGTGGGGGGGAGAGGGGGGTTGTAGAGGTAGGCTCGGGGGTGTATGGGAGGCAGAGGGTGTAGGGGAAGCTGGGGGGGGGGGTGTCAGAGGGTCAACAAAGGGTAGCTCACCTGGTCAGTACCTATGGTATAACGTGGTGTATCTCACTGAACCGCGTGTTACCATAGGTACCCCAGTGGGTCGACCCCACCAACCCTCACTGCATGGGGAGTGCCGTGGAGGGGCGGGGCCGGTACCTATGAACCAGTTTCATGAAGTCGGTCTATGCCGACTAGGTGCTATGTCATCTATGCCTCTCCTTCCTCTTTACTCACAAAAACAAAAACAAAAAACAAAAAAAAAATGAAGTCGGTGTATGTTAAATGTTCTGCCCCGTTGCCGTAGATTTTAGCGATTGTTTATATTTTGGTATATTCAGATACCGTCAAGCAACACTGATGTATAGGTGGCAGATTTGCATCTTAGCACAATTGTTTGGCTACAGTGAGGGACATATTGCATAGCAAAATGGTTACACTGACGGGAAGATGTGTGGGGAAGGGTGTGTGTGAGAGGGGGGAGATGGGGAGGGTGTGTGTGAGAGGGGGAGGGTGTGTGTGCTGGGAGTGTGTGTGTGTAAAGGGTGAGGGGAAAGGGGTTGGATGCCCTGCTTTTTATTGTCCTACCTGCATTGTCCCTCGTACGGTTGAGCATAATTCTTGATGAATGTCCTGACTTCCAGGACGCTCGTGAGTCTTGCTTCCCGACCGTTCCTCGCGGTCACTTGTCCCTCGATAGAATTCTTGGTGAATCGGATACTTTTGATATAGTTCACCTTATCGCTTCTGTTCTCGTATTGGCATCCTTGGTGATATTTAGCGCCTCTGATTATCCCGCACATTGATGGTGCTATATTACCTTCTTAGCCTTCCCGGTTTGGTGCCTTCTATTGATAATTACTTACATTACCTTCTCGGCTTGGTACCTTTTTTTGATAATTATTTACTTGTCCCTACTGATAAATTCCACAAATTTCAGTTACATTAATTGTTGTATAACAAGTGTGGGGAAAATACCATAATATGAATGAGGAGAATTACTTAGGACTTGAAATTCAGTATTGTATACTACATTATAAATGCAAAAATAAAACATGTAAAGTCCTTAGTTAGGGTTGTAAATCCTACTCCTTTTTTCCTCGAAAGGACAGTGATCTGTAGGAAGCAGGTATGAGGTTCCTGAAGGATGAATACATTTGTTGATTGGAGACCCACTCCAATCTTATATATATATATATATATATATATATATATATATATATATATATATATATATATATATATATATATATATATATATATATATATATATATATATATATATATATATATATATATATATATATATATATATATATATATATATATATATATATATATATATATAATATAATAAAATACACAGTACTCTTAATATATGTTTTAGCACTCTGACGCGAGGACTCAGCTGGGGTCACTGAGGAAGCAGCTGGTGGTGTCGACGGACCCGGAGCAGATAGCCAGAGACAACGTGGCGGGCCGCACCGCTGTGGCCATCCCCAGGCTCATCGCCCTCTACTTCCTCAATACATTCAAGATCACTGTAATTGAACTGCTCGTCTGTCTGTGTCTGGATGGATGGTTAGATGATTATGACGTACGTGTGTGTGTGTGTGTGTGTGTGTGTGTGTGTGTGTGTGTGTGTGTGTGTGTGTGTGTGTGTGTGTGTGTGTGTGTGTGTGTGAATCCATATGCTGGATGGATGTAATGTAACATGCTTACGATTACATGGTATCTCAAGGTAACCCCATATTGTAATCCCTTCATTTCATGTGATTATTTCATCATAGGCAGCATCACCAAGCAGTTTACTGTGTTCCTTAATCCTTTTTAATCCATTAACTACTCAGTTGCCAGCCATAACTGTCATTTTATTAACCCATCAAGTTACCTTTTGTAGCTGCATGTTAGTGCCTTTGCAATTATGTTCCAATTCATCACTAAAATCTGTACTGACTCAACACGTTGTGCTTTCTAGTGTACACACACACACACACACACACACACACACACACACACACACACACACACATATATATATATATATATATTTTATAATGTGAGTATGTGAGTGAATACACTGCAGCTTGGTGACTGTAAGCTATACATGATGTCGGAGCGGGCGCTGGGCGCCGGACCCATCGTCATGATGATGCCCCGAGGCTCCCCGCTCAGGACCAGCATTAACAGAGTGTAAGTCTTCACAAAGTCTCCTCCCCGCTCCTCCCCCTCATCCAGTGTCACGGTGGTTGGCTCGGGTCCCCTCCCCTGGTCTTTCCGGCTTCAGTCTGTCCTCGAATTGTGTTGTGGGGTAATCCCAGCAGGCAATAATGAGTTTTTGTTATATTTTTGTTATATTGTATTTACTTTATAATTTGTTGTTTATTTATATTGAACTATAATTCTAAGTGGACTGTATTTTAGATTCAGCCTGCCAGGTTTCACCTGAACACATAAGGGGGGGGGGGGGTGATAAATGTTACACAGCTTATCCCACAAGTAGTGGTGGTAAATAAGCCATATATATATTTACTATTAATATATGTACATTATACCACATATGGTGGTACAAACAGGCTACAGTATGTTAGTACTACAATATACTGTGTTAATATTACTTAAAAAAAGAGCCTCATCTGATATATACAGATGAGGCCCAGGCCCAGAAAGGGCCCGGGTACAGGCCCAGAAGGGGCCCTCACGAGAGCACTCTCTGTTGTGTGTTGGTCCACAATGACTGGCCACCTCGCTCTCGGAGCGTCTCTCGGTTGGGTTCCAATATTGTCTGACTTTATTTGACAATAGCAAGGGATCATGTAGTTTTATTGATAATTATCTAATAACCAGTCATACTGAATACTTTTTTATTAGGTTTAAAAGATATGAAATGTGTTTAAATGCGTTTGTTGTGATGATGTCACCTTCTCCCATTCTCTTTAAACTTTTACTGTAACTAATGTAAATAGTATAACCAGGTTTGCTGGCTATATTGGATATAAGTAATGTAGTATTAGTATATTATGTGTCGGATTTCCGACATGTGTCGTTCACGATCATTCTCCCCTTCTTACTTGTTTCCTTCTTTAGTTTAATTATTACTTATTCCTTCTCTTCTCTTGAATTTCCCATCAATACCCTTCTCCATATCTATCTTTTTCTATTTGTTCGTTTCCCTCATTCTCTCCTCCCTTTCCTGCCCTCTTCCTCCATTTTGCCTGCCTCCTTCCTTCACATATAAAGTCATACCATCCTTGCAGCATCCGAAGCCTGAAGGAGATGGGCATCCTGGACTACCTGATGATGAGGTCCCTGCCCTATGCCGCCTACTGCATGCTGCCCATCACAGTCACGGACGCCAGCGCCTCCCAGTCCTCCAGGGCCCTCCAGTTGGCTGACTTCTACGGCGTCTTCGCTCTTTACGTCACTGGTGACCACCTGTGTAAATGAACACCTGCACCCACCTGTGTAAATGAACACCTGCACCCACCTGTGTACATGAACTAGTATGAATGAACGATGAAGAGAGCCTGATGAAGAGTGTGATGGAGAATAATATACTGGTGATGGAATATTAGTGATGGATTCAAGTATTAATTTAACACACTACAGGGCAGAAATATCACATACTGTTGCCTATATTATAAGACTTCCTGAATCAGGATATTGGCCTCATGTGACCATGGCGGCAGTTGGGGTCTTCCCCGTGACCCTTACCTCTGGTGGGCACTGGTGACCTCTCTTGTAATTACAGGTCTTGTGCTGGCCTCCATCATCTTTGTTATGGAGGCGGTCGTCGGCAGGACCAGAAAGTGATCGTTGCGTGAGGGACTAATTACTCTGTTGTCTGCTACGATGAGTAGGTTGATTTACTCGTACTCCCGTTACTAACACTGACACACTCACCACCTTCACACTCTCCAACCTTCACCTATTACTCGCTGGGGTCATAGTTACGTTACCTATCACTACCTGAGCCAATATTGTCAATCTTTACTCCCTAATTACAGGTGTATGATTAGTTAATAAGTTTACACTTTTAAGTGGCTTGTAAGCCAGTATCTCGAGTACTTGCCAGTGATAAGAGCAGTGTGGGTGTGTACTCACCTAGTATAACTTTATATTTTAACTGATAAGTGGATATATGAGAGATTTTTTCGCACAATGTTTATTGCCAAATCACCGTGGACGTTGCTGTTACGTCATTATGACTTGCCATGATGTCATGATAAACATTGGTGTGACGTGGCCATGGGTGACGGTGTTACTGTCTCTCCTAGGAGTCTGCCCCCCGCCCACACTCTCCCATGTCATCGGCGAAGCTCGTCTCTAGTGGCAGTGGAGCCTTGAGAGCGAGGCTCAGGAACTAGGGGAGGTGTAGCCCAGCAGCTCCAAAACCAAAAGTCACGTTCAGTTATGCCGCATTGTTCTTACCATTAAGAAAATCTCCCAACACAAGTGAACGTGTCTTGTGGTAGTTGATAAAGAAGATTGTTGACGAACTGCTGTGCATTTCTACCAGGAACACTGAGAAAACAGAACGGGTATATGAAGGGGTCAACTGATCAAAACATACCAACACAGAGCCCGCTGATGATGGACGCGAGAGACGTAGCTGTGCGTGGGAACGGCAAAACATTATTTCAAAGTTTAATTAAAACTGTGTTTGTGTCGAGTGTGCAAGAGGTGAAGACCAAAGGACAGAAGGTACCAGGGATGACACAAGGCGGTGAAGACAGACAACGGCGCAGGTTTGAGGACGAGAACAAATTACTATTTTTCCTTTTCAAGCTGTGTGGAGTTGTCGCCCTCAGGAAAGTTAATGGGCAGAGTGTAGTCAGCAAAATCAGGTTTATTATATTTTACATGATGTGGATTATTTGGCCTCTAATTGGATTTTCTGCTGCACTACTTGGATATTCACTGTTTTGTGATGCCCCGGCTGATGTTCAAAGCCATAACCGCATTATGGAAGGGTCGTTCTTCATCCTAGGCTTCGCTGTCTTCCCAGCACTTCAAGCCTACTCTTTAAAATATATTAATAAATGTCTTCCTGAAGTGTTGCAAAAAATATCAGAGTTGGATGACGTTCAAGAATATTTTAAGACTCCTTTGAAGGTGTTCGGCCCTCCTCATGGTGAGAAATGCCGCAATAAGATAAGACAAGCCGTAAATGGCGTCTCTCCCGTCAAACAAATGTATCCAGATCAATTATTCCATTGGCTACCACTGACCATGATACTCCTCTCTCTCTCGGCTTTCCTGGTGTACTGGAGCATTGGGTACGTTACCATTGTCAATATAGACACACTCAATCAAGAGATGCCTATATTAATATTTAATTTTGCCTACCAATGTTTCCCTTTTGTAACTACTATCTTTGTTGTGATATTCATAAGATGGCATGCTAGAGTTTACCAGACAGTTCACAAGTTCTGCCAAGATACATCTGCAACGTGGACCAAGAGAGAGATCCTTGTACTGTGTAATTATGTGGATAAGTTGCAAGACATCTTCAGCCAGATGAGTGCTGGTTTCTTCAGGTACACGCTGGGAATGAACTTGTTGACGGTCATGATCAGTGCTATTGCATGCACTGCAAAAATTCTTCAGGATTCTAATAACATCATCTATCTGGAGCCTCTCGCTTGTAACATATTCCTCCTTGTTGTCCTCTGTGAGAGCAGCTCTACTATCATGGATAAGGTGAATACTGCATAATGTCATGTCCAATCTTTGCCCTGATACATGTAATGTTATTTCCCCTTGCTGCCATAAATATATTATATAATATAAAGCCACACTTGTATATTTGTGAAATTTATGTAAGGAATTGACACCAAGTCTTTCACACTCTCCCGAGTGCTTTATCAAGGTCTGAGTGTGTGATTAGGACGAGAATTACATCTCAAACGTCTAATCATTGAGACGTTTGAGGTGTAAGTCTGGTCTTAACCACACTCTCAGACCCTGACAAAGCACTCTGGATAGTGCGAAAGACTTGGTATAAATTCCTTACAAAAATTTCACAAATACACAAGTGAGGCTTTTTATCCTATGTTATTATGTCTGTGAGACATTACCATTACTACACACAGAAATCATATTAACGTGATATATCAATGAACAGATCCACAGGAGCCTTGATGCGGGTTTGAACCTGTAACCATGTCGTGGTACAGTAGACTAGAATGAGCCTGAGAACACCCAGCGCACAGGTTCGAACCCTGATCAAGGCTCCTGTGAATGTGACCATTACTATTATGTGATACAGTATATCCAAATGCTGTCACTAACATATTATATAATGATATATATTTGCTGCCTCCAATACATTATATAATATTACTAAATTCCTGCCACCAGTACATAATATAATGACGTATCCAGTTGCTGCCACCAATACATATTATAATGACATGCTCAATTGCTGCCACCAACACATTAGAAATGATGCAGTTTGATGCATTTTATGGGTGCCTTCTTTGATAATTACTTGCTTGATACATTTTAACAAAGACAATGTAAGTTACGATCACAAACATTTAGCCGCTCGTCACACCTTGCGTTGTAATCAATGTCTCCGTCAGTATGAGGCTCTGCTGTTGGTACTTAAGGAGGAGATAAGACGTCACCAAAGACACTCGTGGCACGAGCAGCATCAACACTTGCTGGTGCTGCGAGACAACTTGCTGGAGTCGCCGCCAGAGGTAAAGTGAGGCTGACAAGTTGTAATATAATTCAAAATGTGTTTCAGGATAAATATAGAATTTATCTTCTTTGACTCTCTTTGATTGTTTAATTGTTGATCTTGTTTATCCATTTCCTTATTGTTCCATAATCACTACAGTTCTCAAGAACAGGAGAATGAAGATAATGTTATCTAAGTGTTTTAGCTGATAGTCCAGAATTACTGTCTGTCTTATAGCACAACAATCCTCTTTATATAGGATGAAAACCCCAACGTTATTTATTTGTGTTTTATGTAAAGATTTAAACTACAAATCTTTAAATTGAAATTGAATTTAAATAACTTTGAGGTATAAATACACAAAGGAATGTGGATGGCGTAGTTCAAATATTTACATAAAATTCATAAATACAGAAGTGTGGGTTTTTTATCCTATGTTTAATGTCTGTGATAAAAACCTACCATTACTAATTTCTCTTACCAGCGTGTCAATACTGTTGAGTGTTATAGTTAGTGAGCCTTGAGGTATTAAAGGGTGTGGTTGTGTGAATATCGTTTCACTCTGTCTCATCAAGATTGTAACTTAGCTAAATGAATTGTGGGGTTCCACCCCTGAGCCCATTATGTGCCTCTGTAACCCTTTCCACTACCGCCCACAAGATGGGTATGGGGTGCAAAATAAATGAACTAACCTAAACTATCTGTTACAGGTGGTGACATTCGGTGGCTATAGAACGAACCGCGGATTTTTGGTGACGATTTTGGGGTTCGTGGTCTCGTATGCCCTTCTGGTTGACCAGGTGACCAACCGTCGAGCAGAGTGCGCTCACCGCAACATCCAGGTCGACAACAACAGCAGCAGCATGGCTTATGTGAACAGCTTTTGACATCGTCAATGTGGAAAATGATTTGATTATGTGAATCATCGACACTGAAGCATAATGTTTTTTCAATTAGAGTGTAACTTTGACAAATGTTTAATGTTTTGGTTTATTGAGGTTGTTGCAGTGTATATTAGTCTCAGGTCTTACTTTGCGTGTTATTGATGCACAATTTGAACAATATATTGTAGTGTGATAAATACAGTTTCGGTTTGCAATATACTTTGCATTATTTTCTCATGTAATAATATCTTTAATGTCCATGTTCGTAATCTGGGGTGACGTTACACAAAATGCTAACTTCTGTGCCAGTATTCACCAAGCAGTTATGCAAGTGCTTACGAACTTCTACAGCTTTTCTCAATCTTTAGCGGCAGTGCACGTTTATTCATGTGTCCTATTCTTCCCTTCCTTCCCTTAACTATAAATCTATTCCTTTTCCCCCCGTCCTATCCCAAATTCTTATCCTGACCCCTTCCCAGTGCTATATAGTCATAATGGCTTGGCGCTTTTCCCTGATAATTCAATTCAATTGTTTACATATTTAAGTAAGTAAGTAATTATCAAAAGAAGGCACCAAACCGGGAAGGCTATGTAGCACCATCAAATACGCAAAATAATCAGAGGGCGCTAAATATCACCAAGGATGCCAATACGAGAACAAAAACGCATAAGGCGAACGATATCAAAAGTATCCGAGTCACCAAGAATTCTATCGAGGGACAGGTGACCGCGAGGGGCGGTCGGAAAGCAAGACACACGCTCGTCCTGGAAGTCAGGACATTCAAGAAGGACATGCACGACCGTAAGAGGGACAATGCAACTAGGACAATAAGGAGCAGGGCAGCGCTCCATCAAGTGACCATGGGTTAAGCGAGTATGGCCAATACGCAACCTCGCTAGAGCTGTTTCCCACCGCCGGTTACGGTGGAAGGAGGACGGCCACGAGGAAACACAACATTTAAGAGTACGTAGCTTGTTACCAGTAACAGACAACCAAGAAGCCTGCCAACGGGTAAGGACTGAGGAATGGATAACCGGGTAAAAGTCGGAATACGGAATGCCTTTACGAGAGATGGGACAAGAGCGGACAGCTTCCTTAGCGGCAGCATCCGCACGCTCATTTAAAGACATTACATATTTAAGTTTAAGAGCTGGGAAGCACCAGGAGGCTGTTTATAACACTAATAACAATTGACTGGGAAGTTTCCATGTCATAAATGTTTAATAAATGTAAGCAAAGCTGCCATAAATGTTTAACAAATCTAAACAAAGCTGTCAAAGGTTGAGAAATTATATATACGTAAGTACTTGCGTAAATGCCTGTTGATTCCCAAGTTTGCCTATGCTGGGACATTATAGTAGTTTATGGTGGCAAAGGCTTTCTGGAGAAGCCTCCCTTGGTGGCTTCACCTGTCTCCCTGAGCTTTCGCCTACTGAATGGTCACAGTCACAAGAGTTCTTGTTTAGCCTTCAGGGGACCAGAGCCAGGACCTTCCCCTCAGAGACGCGAGGAGCAAGTAACACTCCGCCACTCTACCGGGTAAGCAGCGAGACTGTCAGCGAAGTGTCTAAAGAAACTTGTGGGGTTCACAGAAAACTAATCTTCGAACCTTTAAACAACTCCGCAAACAGCCCGTCCTCCAAAGACCCAAAAGAGATTCAATGCACCCGCCAAACCCACTGTTTATGAATGAAAAACGGTTTACACACGACTCTACTGATTTCGTTCGAAACCTTCCGGAACAAGTGCTTCCCTGACGAATTTTGTTCGAACCACAACGCTGTGTTTCACCCATGTACTACAAATACAAATAATCACCTACAGAACCTAAACACCTACCCTAACCTATGCCTATATATGCACAATATGCATATATATGCTTTGCATATATATGCATATATCACGTACCATTGTACAGTACGTCCCATAATACCTGTCCCATCGTCGTAGACGCCTGGTCGAGGACCGGGCCGCGGGGACACTAAAAAGCCCTGAAATCGTCTCAAGATAACGTTATTGTGACTCATTGCCTGCACGTGAGTGTGGAAACTCGATGAGGCCGAGAGCATGGGAGCTCGATGCGGTCGGAGTCTATTGTCTGCTCTGTGTGGAAACTGAAGTGTCTTGGGGTCGGTTGGAACTCTTGTGCTACATTCTTACATCATCGTACATCGTACATCATAGTCATATTTGAACAACATTTCTATTACCAGTAATTATTTGTAGGAATAAAAGATTACATATTAATACAAGTTTATTTAATCTAAAATAATTATCACCTGCAGGACGGAATATTTCTTTTTGTAAAGCCTTCACCAGCATTGCATGCAATGCAAGCTAGTCAGGATCCAATATCGAGTTTTTTTTTTGAGCGTTTACAAAAATTGCAAAGTGGAATGCATACACAAATGTTCCTGTTATGAAGAACAAGTCAAAATCTTTAAGAAATCATTTGAGGCTGTATCAAAATTACTAAAATCGTTACAAACATACAAAACATTTTAAAGCGGTGAATAATTACATGGAAAGAAGATTCCAAGGAACTGCCATATTACATTACATACTGAACTAGTTGCAGATATATCAAGGGTATGGTTGCATGGTAATAAATTGTATGTTCCCTTACTGGCTATACATTCAACGGGATACACACAACCATCATTTGAATTATTATATTTTACATGATCTAGTGTTAGTATATATTGAAATTATAATATATATAATATGGGAATGTGTAACAATGCAATACTTGCATAAGATATAATTATGGTTTCAACAATATTGTACAAAAACTTTTAGGCACTATTTAAATAAGACACCAAAACAAACCATTTGGTCATTAGAAATTTAAGTACATTGTGACAATATCCTTGTACTGTATTTGTATCCCTCCTCGAGTACACCTGTGTATTCAGTCTAATATTTTTGTGCCAGACAATAGTTCAAGCCAAGACAAACCATTTTTCTTAGCGAGGATATCTGTTTAGGTTTGAAGGTCAAGGTCTACAGACTAAGGAAATTGAGGTCACAGTCGAGCTTTGTTTTAACCAGCAAATATATTTTAATACCTTACACACAGAAATCACAATAGCGTGATGCATCAATGAACAAATCCAAGGGCCATGACGAGGATTTGTCATGGCCCTTGTGGATTTGTTTAATACCCGACAACACTAAGGAATTAACAAACTTAATCCAAGCTCTGTGTATACTCAAAAAGATTATATTGGATGCATGACTTACCCAGCCCTTATTTGGCCAATGTATATATTTTGCCTCTACTTATGACTGCATGCATGTTCAATTCACCCAGAATTTTAACAATTTGGAACAACATCGATTTTGGGGAACAGCTTGTGCGCATAGTTTTCAACCATGCCAAATTACTACAGAGAGGTAGACAAGTTGAAAGCTGGAGACAAGTTAGTGTGACCATTAGGACCAACTGTCAACATTATGGCACTATAACCCTGCTCCTTCCCACTAGCTGTTGATGTTTGGACATTATCCATCACACCTGTAGAAGGTCTTCACTCAAACTTTTATTAAAGACTTTGTCTTGGCTAGCATGTCTTTACCACTTTTTGGCAACTCGAGTTGTCCATGTTGTCATACTTTCAAGGCAGGATATTTGTAACGTGCAATTTTCACCAATTAAATCGAGACATGTATATGTTATACATCTGGTTAAATGTGAGCACATTGCTGATCTTTTACTATAAGATTTCTATGCTTCTATTTTCTTAATTCAGAGAGTAAGAAAAGAGAAAATGCCAGCAATGTAATCTTAAACAAAATATACTTAAAGGAATGCTTGCTGCCCAAGTATACAAACATTTGTTTATAAGGTATCTATATACAGAATTATTTTTTTTTATCCTAGATGAGAAAACTGTCTTGTCCTAATTGTTTGAAAACCAAGTCTTCCAAATCTTGCACAGGCAGTAACATTTTAAATGTTTAATTACTCTAATGAAAGTGCAAGGGCATCTTCCCTACAGTAATTTGTGACATGTGCAAGTTAAAAAATAAGATGAATTTCCTATACAATGTAAAGGAAGCTAGATATAAATATATACATGTATTCCCCAAGGCAGTTGTACCTGTAATTACCCTTATACCGGGCTAAAGTTTTCTCCTCGGACAAGAATGGGGGTATGGGCATGGTTTCATGAAAGTTGTTCAATGTCAACCAATATTTTTTTACTAGTTGTATATGAAAAGGGCTGCAATTATTCCAAGTTTCAGTACTGCAGCATAAACAGAAGAGAGATTTGTTATTTTATTTTTTTTCAACGAATTTTACACATTTTCAAGTGTAAATAAACAAACACACCTTTCAGATATAATCATTCTATGACACTTTTCTGACACATTAGCATATAATAAAGAATCCGGAGTTAGGGAGTTTCCAAAACATCTTTAGTTTTCCTAATACAAATATTCAAAGTTCCCCTAAAAAATTATGCAAATATGTCATGTTTATTGCTATTATAATATCAATAAATGAACTTAGGAAAAAAACACTAACTTGGGATTTTAGAGAAACTACATATAAGGTGTAAGTTTCATGTAAATTGAATAAAAAATGATAGTTATTTCAACGTTTATGTTAGTTAAAAATATTGAAAATAAATAAGAAAATAATAAGTCTAAGGTGCTGCCATCTGTGGCCGAGGCTGACAACCAGTTTTCTCCAAAATTGGCACCTTTGCAGATAGGCTTATGTGCAGTCAGGTGTACAAGTTTCATGCAAATCATTCAATAAAAAAGAAAAGAAAACAAAAATATAATTTTTTTAACTTAATTATTTTTCTAATAAAAATTAAGTTAAAAAATTTTCTAATAAAAACGAATATTTTTTTAATATATGCTATTGTGATAGCCGAGCCATAGATATGATTTCAGTTGACACTTGTGTTTGATAATTGTATTTGACCATTTTGGAATAATTTTGGCACTTCACTTTTTTTTCTCCTTTCCTATTTATGCTATGATGCTGAGACTTGGACCAGATGAAACCCTTTTCATATACTAGTCAAAAAAGTTTGATTGAAATTGAACTAGTTTTCATTTAATGCATTTTTTTAAAATCTGGAGCCCTTGCCCCCTTAACCCTTGGATAGCGGCTATGGAGAAATGGTCATACCAGCCTATGGGGGGGGGGAAACTATAGACATTATAGAATTATTAATTTGTATGTAGAATACAAGAAACAAATACAATAAGAATACAAGAAACAAATACTGTAAGTGAATATTTATCATTTCACTGGGTGGAGCTGGGCATGTCGACGCCCGCTGCTCAATTTTGTGACACTTCCCGATTTATTCTGATGTTTCAATGATTGTCTTGTCACTATATTTAGACCCACAGAGCACTTTACAGTATCTATCTGCATCATGCACGTAAAACCCAGACAATAATTGTTTGAATCGTATGATAACCGCATTTCCCTAGTAACATTCGTGATAACCATATTTGTACCATGAAATGGTAGGATTTTTTTCCATGGGTCAGTGTGAACTCCATTGCATTCAGACCTATTATATCCATATTTGCATCATACATGCAAAACCCAAAATATTTTATTAATCTTCACAGGATGACCACATTACCCTGTGAATCAACCATTTATGAACCGCTCTCTAAGGGTTACTACTTTCTAACATGTCTTAAGCAGACAAAACATTTAATATATTTAAATTTGCCATCCATAGAATAATGGTCAGTTCGTTAGTTTTAAACCCTAAAACCTGTAAACAAAATTGTAGTAGGACAAATTCTGAAACTGCTGTATTTTCCCCCTCTAACTGGTATGTGTAGCAGTAAAACGGTCATTACAGAACCGAGATCAATCAGTCTCGAGCCTTTGGCATTACTACTAGTACTGATATTGTTAACCTTTAATGTTAAACTCTTGCAAAGGAATAATAATCTATATATATACACACTAGACACACTGGGAATGTTTATATTTAAGTAATGACCATATAGTATTTCAGCAAGGACTCCAAGTCATAACCAACATGACTACTTCCTTTACACATACAAATCTGCAAAATATGTTATTCAGTGAACTTTGGCTTTCAAACTAATACATTTGAAAAATACAACATTGCATTTTCTTTTTAACATGAGGAATCTAAATTTAAATCTTATATAAATCTTATGTTACAAATCTACAAATACTATAAACCTTACATAACTTTTAGTTTGAGCAGCTTGTGTTCTTACTCCTGACAGTATGTACAGTGTGACCTCCAAAAGCTGGACCTCCATATAATGCTTCCAAGAAACTGGCCAAATTCACCTAGCAGATCACCGCCTCAAACTTATTTGTTGAAGAAAAAAATATTTTGACAAGTTACATTCTTCTTCACAATAAATATTCAAAAAATTGCATTCTTAGTTTTGCAAGTCTTATTCTTGTATACGACAAATTGTACAAGAGCCCATGATTGTGTGTATATTCAAACACAAAGTACATGCATATGAATTGCTTATTCTTCGTGCAAGTGTGATGTGAAACATCTCATTACATAAGCATTTTCAGACTTTTCTTTAAATATATTGCAGTATTCGAGTTATAATCAGCAAAAAAATAATGATATTCCAGCAAAGATTATAAGGAACTTCTTTAACATGAATAAAAAAGGCAGAGTTGTTAGAAACTTAAGTATTTGGGGGGGGGGGGGATTTGAAGGAATCTGCTAAAGTGATTTACATAGCATAGCACAGTTGCAGTCTATCTAAAAGAATGACAAACCATGGGACAAAAACTTATATGACCAGTTCTGGGTTGATGCAAAAGTTAGATGGGACATATGCCAGTAATCACTTTGCTGCCTCTTACCAGTCTTGATATAAAATGGTTATTTTTTTAGCATAATTATTTATATGCATACAATCATTGGTTACACTACAAAATTTTGAATATTTTATCACTTGCCATAACGAAATTAGTGAAAACTAAAATTATGGGCATTTATTTAGAACATTCAAAAATATGGATTGAGTAGGGAACCATGTGACTAATTTTGGAGATCTAACTGTACCCTCATTTAAAAAAAAATTATTTAAGGCAACTACCTGAAGGTATTGCAGATGTGTCAGCTTGAGCAGTTCATGATTCAAGCTAGATGGTCCACAGTTCAGGCAATATACATGACCCTGGACGGTCCAGAAATTTCTTGCAGTGGCGCACACACACTAGTCTAAAGTTTTAGACCAATTCCAACGTTCACTGTTTAGTAGGAATGATTCAGTCACTTGTAAAATGATTAGTTCTGATACAATTCTTAGTTTCCTAACTTTGAAGCTTTAAGGGGGACAAAAATGCATAGGTGGCACTTCTCATTTTAGTTCATGACCAAACAGTAGGAAGGGTTGCAGTAGAGATCTGTGGGGCAGTAGAGATCTGTGGGAGATGAGAGGAAGATCACGGGGTAGCGGTAGCGAGTGGTTTGAGATCAGCTAAAAAGGGAAGGTTAGGCAACAGCATTAGTGATACCTGAAGAAATCTGGCAGGTGGTATAGATTTGCTAGGTACCCTACCACTATTTACACGCCAACTACTTTTTATGTGGGTGAAAGTTAACATTTTTTTTGAAGAGTAATTCCTTGAATGTTCCTAACACTTGCCTACCAACACCCTTCCCCCGTTTGGTCTGAACAGCATTCGTGTGGATTTCTTTACTGAAACTTTGATGTTTCAACACTATCATCATCTACTGTCTACTACTGTATCTATAATCCAAATCATATGCAGCCTACCACCATTCGATTCGAGTTTGTCATATTTTAAACCTGAAACTTCCAAATATTAAAATAATTCTAATTTATTCATGTTTTTGTTTAGCAGAAATCAATAACCCAGATTTTTATTTCAGTTTAGCAGCCAAAAACTAATCTATTCCAATTACCCAATTATTCGGGTTACCAGAATTCGGATTATCGAGCTATTACATTACAGTAGCTTGTATCCTTTTCATTATTTACATTCAAGCCATTATATTCCTTTTAAAAAACTACAGCTTCATTCTACTTGCATAACCACCTGCATTTCTGCTCATTAGAATATGGCTTCCTTCACTCTTGGCAAATTACAGTAAAATTATACAACAGCGTCTTTCAACATCTTACCATTCCACAAGATCCTGTTTTTAGTGCACTATCGATCAATTATTTTCTTCAAACCACTAAACCTCAGGTCCTCAAGGAGAGTAGCCAACTGACAAAGAAGGCAAGGACTGTGGTGAGGACAGAGGCACTGAAGTACTCTGTGCCAGCTTTGAACTGAAAGATATGTACACTAGAACCCGGCTCCTTCCAGGGATTGGCGCCATCGTCGAAGTGCATGGGGCAGCGGTCGTCTGAAACATAAGTTGGTAAATTTTGACTGTTGATAATACCAGTATGCAAGTAGCCATGTTTTATATATGTGCAACTAGGACTAGCTTGTGTGTTTTTGGAGAGTTAAACAGATATGAATATTGTATCTTAACATTTCACATTCAAACAATATGGTACTTTAAACAATGTTCATTAATTTTATGGTATCATTGCAAGAAACCCATGCAACCCATTATGGTTAGTGTTTATGTAGTGTATGAAGCACAGGTGATAAAAATAAACTTAGTTTACATTCATTTGCCTTGTTTGAGAAAAAAAATTATACTGTCAAAAATAAAATGCTTACCCAAGGACTCATTTTGGGAACTGCCCTCTGGTAATCTATTATAAATAGATAATAAATATTTCTACCACATTTACTGATGAAAGTATACATGAAAGATGTGAAGTAATGGAAATTATTTTTTAACTAGTGGTCAAATGACCAAAATACTCAAACATACAAGGAGCACCTGTAAAAATGCACAAGGAGGGAATGTGTCATGTGAATCTCATGCATAACAGTGGAACTGCCTTTTCCCTTCAATGCCTCTGCACTGGAAGTATACATCTACATCAGTCCTGCCACCTCTTCATACCCCCAAGGGCCTGGCACAGCCTGGTATGACTCAGAGGCAAGCCGGGCACCTTTGCTAACCAGCAGTTTGCCCCCCCCCCCCTCTCGTCACGGCCCTTGTGGATTTGTTCTTTCAATTATATACTTGCACACGTTACTCCTTAACCAACAAATTTACTCACGTTCTCTCTCGTACTCGACCATTTCAAGGGTGACTGCTGCTCCATTACCTATACCCTGAACAGTTTGCTGCAGGTTGCAAGCAGGCCCAACGCTCTCCGACATCAAGATCTTGTTCAAGTCAGCCCTTTGGTAAACCTGAGGTACAAGAAACCTCCTTCAGGAAGATAATGGCTTGCTTAGAGTAAAAGTGGACAAGTTTTTTAATTAAAGATAATTGATCTTTGGTAAATAGATGGATTAATGCAATAGATTTGAACAGTGATTATATATTTTAGTATGCCCCAATGACATTTCAAGATAGCTCTAAGATAAACAATTACACCATTTTGTTAATCTTTTTTTGCCAGAGAAATTATAAGCTACGTGCAAAATATGAAACATTTTAAATGAGAGGGGTTACACCTGCCATATTAAATCCAGAAACTATAAACTGTATTGCCCTTGTAAAATCTTGGAACAATAAATTACCAAAAGTATCTAGTGTAATAATGACTAGATAAGAATGCAGTACTGCATCCGATATTCAACTTGTGAAATGTTGAATAAAACAAAATGCTTCCAATAAAATACTAATTTAATACTAAACATGTTAGCTTTATGGTTTGCCACATTGTTGTGGACATGACCAGAACAATAACCTAGGTTAATAACTGCCTTTTCCCCAGGATGCACCATACTAAATCTTAACGTTCTTTTTTACGCCTAGATTAACAGTCATCTGGTAACAAAACTTTCCCAAAAGTTAAATTTTAAAATTAAAGTAGTGACCACATTGTAAAATTAAGTTAAAATTTTAATATGTTTGTATTGCAATATGACTCGTTTCAAATTAATAGACATTTATAATAATGATAGGATCTGATGCCAATGGTGTGGAGTTGATAAAAGTAGCAGAAGGCAGACATGTGGAGCCCTGCCCCTTATCTAATGCTCATCTGGAGCAAGGACTCCTGGCTGTGTTTCATAACCATTTTAAACCAAATGGCTTTGCCTCCCACTATCATACTTGCTAGCAGCTCTTACATTAAAAAAATAATGCTCTATATTCCTCTATTCATCCCTGTTAACATTTTTGTGAAGCCTTTTGTCCTATACTGTGCTTAGCCACCATACCCCCCCCCCCCTCCCCTCCCCAGCACAAATCTGCTATTCCCAGCCCAGCACCACAACCCCAGCTCCAATACCCAAGGCCCAGCACCACGCCTTGTACTCACCCAGCATCTGTACTTTGAGAAAGGGTCCAGTTCATCATAGGTGATGAGGTAGGACTTCAGGTTTTCCCGCCAGTAGCCTGCACATTTGAGCTTGTAGTCCGGATCAGCTGTTGGTGTCGGCAAGTGTTACAAATTAAATTTTAAAGCAGTTACTTTCAATATCTTTTGACTGACATTTTGAAACAGCAAATTGATTTTTAATACATAATTATGCATGCATGATATACATGCAAAGAAAGTAAGACAAAGCAAGAAAAACTTACCCAAATAAGAAGAAACAGGCAGACAAAGCCATACTGCCTCAATTAGTCATAGGTAGGATCACTCTGGAAGCTGCAGCAAGCCAATTAGACGTTAACAGCATTGTGTATATACAAGCATGCAAGCGTGACCTAACAAAGTGGTCAACAAGCCATTCCCAAGACAGTTTGAATATATTAGAAAAGCATTTTCAATGTACAACCAATTTCAATCTTCATACGCCATAGTACAAAGGGCAAGAACCTTTAATATATATTTTTTAATTATATTAAAAATCTTAATCTAGGAGGCTGTGAACCTATACAAGACAAGTCAAATTCAGAGCGACAAAACAAAATCTAAAAGGCAATGCAAAAATAGCTAGCCAGCAAAGTTGACCAAGCCAGAGGCAACACAGAGGACATTACTGCAAAAGCTCGGTCATCCAATTCCAGTAACTCAAATGAATTTGCACTTGAGTTCCTCACTTTTTGGTAGTTTAGCCAAGGTTACACACATTGTGGCTAGGTCCTGGTAGTACAGTTAGCTTCATTCTCCACTCACTTGGGAGTAATGGGTTCAAATTCCGGGCAGGATAAAAATGATTGGGCACATTCCTATTGCCTAATGCCCCTGTTTACCTAGCAGTAAATAAGAGGGTCAGTAGTTCAACCTTGGGGAGGGAAGGGCACATCGATACAATCCTAAAGGGTATATTATACACTGCCTGTCCCCTGACAAAATTAATTATAAATGGTGGCTGTGGCTGGATAAATGGCAGGAGTGGCCAGGTAAATATGTTGATAGAAAAAATTGCAAATTGTTACTTTTAAGCATTCGTTGTCAGAAATTTGGTTGCGTCAAATGTTCGGCTACCTCAAGTTGGGGGGAGTTTTAGGCCTCAAGTGATTTGGATTAATGAGCATAGACAGTACTGCATCATAAGCATTAATTTTGCAGAAAAAGACAACATGAAATGAGTGATTTCTATTGTTTATATAGATGTGATCATCTGTGGTGCCCTGGAAATAGATATTTCAATATCAACACGTTTGCCATACTGATCCAGACACACATTTGTCCACCTCTATTCCTGCAGTAGATATTAGGTCGAGGGTGCCACAGTGACCTCTCAAGAGTAGTTTTATGACAAAAGGTAGGTTACTTGCCTGCGTGAAGTTATACTTGCCCACGAAGGGGCACTCGAGGTCCTTGGCTGATGTGAGCAGGATGGGGGGGGAGAGGCAGAGGATGGACAGAAAATTAAGCAAACAAGAAGATTGACAATCAAGAAATTAACAAAGGAAATATATAAGGGGAGGGGAAGGAGAGCCAAATTACCAGGTTTACAATGAAGAAAAATGGGACAATTTGAAGGGCAATACGATTATATTAAATGCAACGTCCACACAGACAAGACTTCAAGTGAACCCAAAGATAATGCTTCAAAGATTGAATCTTAAGTACAGTAGCTTAATGTCTTTTCTAATACTTGGTAAAAAAACCACACACACTATTTAGAGCCAACAGGTAAAATAAAACATGCATCGAATTGGTAGAAATGGTGCCACATGGAGATTAGACAGTCAATTACTGGACTCATCATAAGAGTAACAAGCTCAACATTATTACCATCTGCAGAGCTTTTTTAGTGGTGCAAGGAAAATGCAAATTTTAAGTATTTAATCACATTGTGACATCAGTTTTATGATAACTATTGCATTTGCCTCTACTGCACTATCAAGAAGCAGTGGTAATGATGTAAATAGCCATAAGACGGTTAGAGATGAAGTGAAAGATTATCTTTCAAAATATTGGAATGTTGCTTATGAAAATGCCAGTATAAAATTAAAAATTACCAAAATGCATGAACCTTATGCAAAGAAAAGTTCACCCAAAGCAAAGAATTTTAATGGAAATTATACAAAATCTTGAAAATAGAGCAAAGACACATAACCCATAAGTTCAGCACACCAGTTGCACAAAATACTTAAATGCATTAGTGTATAAAAAAAAAAAAAAAAACTTTAAAAGCTTCACACAAGTGATTAAATTAAGTAGTTACTGCAGCCACCACCAGGTACTAGCATCACCCCCACTCCACCAGGAAACCCATATACGTACTATAAATATCGATATGTCTGCCATAAGCATCCACGCTGATACAGTAATGAGCATCTATCCACATCTCTTTCTGGTCACGGTCACAGACGGAGAGATCAGAGATGTTTTCCCTGCAGTAGATGTGATCCCAGGGAGACTTTGTGACACCCCCGAGGATCCTCGTCTCAAACAGCAGCTCGCCCTTTTGTGTAAAGTTAAATTTACCCGCAACAGGACACTTGACAGGTACAGGGTCCTTGGCTGGTGGACAGCGATGAAGTTAGTAATAGTACCCTCATGAACATTAATTTAACAATAAAATGGTAATGAAAAAATTGCTAGATTTATTAAGAAAACAATGGTACTCTATATGGTCTAATATAAGGATTAACAAGCTACAAACTAGATATTTAATTAAACCAATCTATGAAAAGACCACTGAGGTGCCAACATTAAATAATGCTGTAGGCATTACTTTCAGGATCTGAAAATTCCCAGTTAATTGTCAATACTCTACTGTAATTCTGGAGAGTTCTTAGACTACTAGTTCATATTCCATATTCATTTGAGGAAAATTTGAAAATTACTCTCAAGTATGTCATGCATGGACCATGTAGTACTCTATTCTGTCAATGAGTACCTTTATAAATTGTAATATGGTATTAGATTTAACAATCAATATTCTAGGTTTTTTATGAACTATATAGTGCACATGCTCCCAAGATTTGTGTACTTTGAATATAATTTCTAGATGAAATTATATTGCTGAAATATCAAACTTTTATTTTCAACTTCAACATTGATTTATCAATACATTAAGTAGAGATACAGTACAGTCATTCTGTTTATTGATGTTTTAAGCAAGCTTTTCCCATTATTTTATGCCAAGAAGTAACATCTTTAAAAACTTAGTACTGTACAAAGCTCGAGATAATATAAAATACTTTCACAAGAAAGCTTACCTTTGCCTGTTACAGAAAAGGCTCAACACATTTTAAAGCATTACAAAGTTTTCTCCTGTGATTGGTAATAAACCCTCACTAGGTAGTTACCCAGAGATTATCTACATCTCTAACTTTCACAAAGCAAGTTACTATAAACCCATTTAATAGAATATCACAACTGTGATCCTTCATACAATCTTTAAAAAACTTTCCAGGAAGCATCCAATTTGTAAATTAGCTTCCCAACACTATACCACAATGAAAGTAACGGTGAATTTACAGTAGTAATTCTTGACAACTAACTGGGTATGAGTTTTGTTTGACAAATAAAAAAAAAAAAAAAAAAAAAGATTAAGGACCTCAAAGTACTCGGGCCAGTCCTGGGCTATGCAAAGGTTTCAGTCACTGTGCAAGACATAGGCTCTCACCAGCATGCGAGAGCCATAATGGCACATTTTTACATTTACCAAGAATAAATTAATAAAATTTAAATAGCAATCCATACCCAACTTACCTAGCAAAAGGTCATATCTCCACTCCCTACCACTCTTGAACTGGAGGTACGAGCAGACAGTGGAAAAGTCCTCCCTAATCATTTCCAAACCCTTGCGGAATCGTATTATGTTGTGATGGCGAGGCACGAACTCAAAGCACACGTAATCCTTCTGGCTGCGGACACAAGCATGAAATTTATCATTGTCAAGGATAAAATGGGCTAACCAGGAAAAGTGAGCACCAATTTATACTTTTCTGTACTAAGCCTTCAATGGGAAATTAGTTTGTGATAGGAACCTTTAAAATCTTTGGGGCTAGATAGGGTATTTGACTAGCATCCTGGGTAACCCCCAGATGCACACCTTAATCTATAGATCATTATATGCTAAAGATTGTTTAACCTGGGATCTACCCAAATACACCAGGAGTCTGGAGGCACCAAATGAACAAATCCACAAGGGCTGTGACGAGGATTCAAACCTACGTCCAAGAGCATCCCAGACGCTGCCTTAATCGACTGAGCTACAACATGGTACAGTATATGAATTGCAACCAGAAATTCTACTGAATTTACTTGGATCCTGCAGCCTCTCCAAGACACGAACCAGGATTTTACACAATTCCCCCATGCACTCTAGCTATGTCAATAGGCCGTTCTACCTCTTTGCCCTTACTTCATTACATACAGAAATCACAATTTGTGAATTGAAAAATAAAAAATTGTGATTTCTGTGTGTAATGAAGTACAGCATGACACTGAGGCCATTTACACCCCTGTGCGCAAGAAAAAAAAAAATTATTTAGTCTTCTAAAAATGTTAATTCATTAATATGTTGAGGAATTAAGACGTATAATCATGACACCCACCCTCAACCCATCTTTCCACCCACACACAGCTAGATGGAGATATGGGTCTTAACATTGTATGGCCAGGGCAAAGTAATGCATTTAGGCCTACCTTGTTGGTGGGCCCCACCTGTCTGCTAAAGTGCAAGATTACCATCAGATACTTATGCATAAATTTCTTAAATATAATTTGAAATGGGATTTGAATGCCAGGCATTTCCAATACGAGTCAAGTAATTATAATTGTCCACTAACTAGAGAACTCTCATGAACAATATAGCAGCATGGGACCCCTGGGCCCAGCGCCCCCATGCGTTAAGACGGCACTGCAGCCACCCACCCTCTACCTGTCTCCCCAGCACGTACCAGCCATCAATATTGAGCCTGGCCATCATGAACCTGTTGTCCCGTTGTTGTCTACACACATAAATGGTCCTCCTGAAGCGGCCCTCATCAGGGTAGGTCGTCTCTATTACATGCGTCTGGTTGATGAACACGTCTGCCTCTGTGTGAGCAGTGTTCATCCACTCCCCACTAAAATTCTTGGGCAGCAGGCAACCAGGGATCACCGTCTCTTGTTTGACTGTGGAAAGGATGCTTTGATAATGTGTGACAGGTCATGACAAGCTTTGCAATGGGCAGGTGGGGAATGATTTTATAATCTACAGAATTATGCACACCTAATGATGGACAGAGGAAACAATGTTGATATTAGATACACATTGTATTATAGCAGTAAGGTGGGAACGGGAAACCGTGGCAAAGATGAACACTGATCAAGCCATATGCTGGGAAGTGAAGTTAATGGTCAAGACTACAGGGAGGGGGCTCTTATGGTAGGTTGTGTTTCAATGTGAGAGTGAAAGGATACAGTCCAACCACTGGGTTTCAGATTTGACAGTCAAAGTAATGGTATACAATTTAATTTTGTAAATCAGCAGTTACACTAATTTTGGAAATTACAACCATCTTATTTTAATATTACATTGTTAAATGCAACATTAGCCAACTGTTAAGGTTCTAAACATTATAATGACTTTTAATGTCTAGCTTTTATTGTTATTATTCTAAAGGTTTGTTTTATTTGTTCAGTTTTATTTGTTTATCTTATTTTGTATGGTTCATTTGATAGCATTTACAAGTATAATTAGCTTTGTTAGAGCCAGGAAGCCTGAGTATATATTTTTATCCAGTACTAGTCAAAAGTATGTGTGACTCTGCTCAAGGCGGTAAATAATTATGGGAAAAAATAAATGGTATTGTGGGTGAAAGATTTGAAAAAGTATGCAATGGCTACATAACATCACGATGGGCTTTAGCTCTCTAGAGCAACCACAATGCCAGAAACAGTGGCCTCTTAGCTGTCACTATGAGTTATGTGCTGCATCTTACTCTTTGGCCAACCATTGTTTTTTGCACTTATTAGCAGTTCATGTGGTGTGACTTATTATGGCACCTACCAAGGACCTAAGCAAATAAACCATTGGTGAGATCATTGCTTTAAAGAAAGCAGGCTAATAAAGTTAAGATTGTTGGGTGGTGCCACAACATGAAGTAATGTGCGCATTTCCGTGGGGAAAACAGTGATGGCACCCCAAAGAAACATCGGTCTGGCAGTCTCAGAATGACTTCAAGGTCTATGCTTGCTGTAACATGAAAGGTATTCTCCAGTGAATGTTTTAGAATGTTCACTAAACCTTCCTGGGATGACCAGACCAATGTTTCTGTGATGGCTCATCGCTATTATTTCCTCCGTGGAAACTCTATACTCCATGTTGACGTTACACCCAACAATTAATTTATTTCCTTACTTTGGTAGCCTGCTTCCTTTAAAGCAATGATCGCCAATGGTTTCTTTGTTTAGCTCCTTGATAAGCGACAATAATGTAATACCACCAACACCATTGTTACCTGCAAGAAGACATGGCAAGGTGCCAGAGCAAGACTTGCAACACAACCTCTCACTATGAATGCCCAGGGGCAACTAAGCTCCCCAGCTGTGTGGTTCCAGGGAGCATGCACACCATGGCATGTATCTGGCACATACTTTTGTCTACAATTTCACCCATAAGACCATGTTTTTTTTCTCACGAGTATGCGCCCGCTCGAGAAGGCAGCGGGGATATTTTTGACTAGCATCTCACTTTTGACTAGTAATGTATATGCTTTAGGCTTTTATCAAGGTTCCCCTCCCCCCCAGGTCAAACTACTGGCCCTTCCCAGGATGCAACCCTACAAGAGTTGCCTAACTCCCAGGTACCTATTTATGGCTAGGTGAACAGAGGCTTTAGGTGAAAGCCTATTTTTCCATGATCAAACATGATCATACAGGAAATCTACTTTACACACTTTCATACACAACATAACATACTTTTAAACACTAGCAAATGAAACAAAGTAACACTAACAAAACTGAACAAAAAAGGTTTAGGTTAATAAAAGCTGGCATTACATACCAATCATTAAAACAGCTCAAGTAATTCACACAGTTAAACTCTTAAATGCTCAATTAGGGTTAAGAGTTTATGCAAAAGGGATACATTTCAATATCATTGATTATTTTATAGAGAGATTTCGGTGCCAAAAAGACTAATGTATTTTACATAGAATAAAAAATCTCATGGAGCTTAAATATTAAAAGTAAACATTTTGTAGTTCCATTTACACAAAATTCTTAAAAATTATTTATAATGTATCAAAGTTTACACTTATTACATAAAAATATCCAATAACTAGATGAAGGAAAGAGGGAAAGGATGTGTTATTAAGTGATTATATTCGTTCCCTTTCATCACACATTCCCTAGTTTTCTTTGTAATGTGTTCACCTTCCTTCAACTCCTTATCATACCTCCCCACAGTCCTCCTTACTCACCAGGGGTCATACGAAATCTGAAGGGGCTGTTCTCTGGCGTCTTGAGGACTGAGCATTCTGGAGTGATTGAGTGGCCCATGTACAAGTCATCATCTCTGTTCCTGACGAAGCAGCGATACTTCTCGTCCTTTCGAGATTCCTTCGTGTTGGCCACCGCAAAGAAGTGGTTCTTCCCAATAAACCAGTCACCCAGGCAGGAAAATTCCCTTGCTGTGTGGAAGATACTGTCTTAATAGTGAGTTTATGAAGGAGTGACTGATGGGGTGATGAAATTTAAGACATTTAACAATTTTCACATTAAAAAGAACCTGTGTGAGCACCACACAATCTGATGCATATGAACATACCAGTATAAATGTCTAACTTTACCAAAATTAACCAACATTTTCTGAATCTGTAAACCTGAAGAGGGTTAAATGTACAGTACTATACTTACCCAAATTAAGGCTTGTGCTAAAGTATTTAGTTCCATACCACCTATGTTACCAAGAACTATAAATTTATTATGTTTGCCAAAAATGTTTACCAAAATATGGGAATTAAATCTGAAGGAAAATCAAACAAGAGCCAAAGGATCCAAGATTAAAACATGATACTGTGAAGCATTATCCGAGTAGACATTTTTAGATTCGGAAGCAACAGAGCTAGGATATTTAGTTTGTTGGGAACAGGAAGCGCGCGTGTGTGTGTGTGTGTGTGTGTGTGTGTGTGTGTGTGTGTGTGTGTGTGTGTGTGTGTGTGTGTGTGTGTAATTAATAATTGCAAAGTGGTTGCAGAGGCTCATCACCCGAGCTCTACATTCTATCACACCACCCCTTGGAGATGCTGGGGGACATGTTCTCTGCAGAGCTGCTGGGATCCCTGTTACACGAGACTGGCACAGGGAAAATCTGCATCAGAGGCTATACAGGCCAATGAGCATAAATACCGTATAAACCTTACCTAGTCCTGTTGGACATTTACTATACTGTACTTTGAAATATTCTGGTACATTGATGCCTGGAGCAGGTGATAATTTGCATTTACCTTGTGAATGAGAGCAGGGTAAAATGCAATGATTTATATTACAAGCTCTCATTGAAGCCGTTACACCAAGCTCTTTTAATCCCCAGGTACATAAAGTGCTACTCACTGCCAGTGAAGGACTCCTTGATTCCCTCACACTTTCTATACGTTATGTTGAACTTCTGGTTGGCAATGAGGAACTGGTTTCCCGGTTCTTGGCACGACTGGATCTTTGCCTCGGGATTGTTGCACTCTCCGGTGAAACTGTCAAAATACACAAGCCATAAACAAATTGTAACACTTCAGAAGATCTGACAACAGAACATTGCACACTGTAGATGTGTAATGTTATATTGTCAAATACTACAATGCTCTCAGGCATAGATCTTTTATGCATGTACTTTTACCCGAATAAACATATTTATTAGATGGTGTAAATGCTGGGCTTTAGGTTCTAATGTGAAAAGTAAAAGTATCAAGAAGAATTTAAATCTTTTGTCTCCAGAGGCAATCACATTACTATATGGTAGGCTGACAGGCCTCTGAATAACTTTCAAGAATCTAGACAAGAAGGTAGTCAAGGCATTGTACACTGCCTATTAGAGACAAGTATTTGTGTACAGTTTGCAGATCCATATATGGAACAATGTCTAAAGCAGAAGTTAAAATAAAATTAAATATTTCAAGTTTCCAAATTTTACTGCAGTCATTTTGATGGTATCATTGGGAATAAGATAGCTCTATGGTTTCTACAGTATATACAAAAATACAAATTTGTTTCCAAACATTTATGATTTTTATAATTTTTTTACCTAAAAAATTTAAAATAAAAAAAAAGCCTCAAACAAATGTAAAACCTGTCAAATTGTGTATTTTAAATATTCATCAAAATGGATGAAAATTAAACAAAACTACAAGTTGACATTTTGAGAGTAATTTTTCCATCAAATATGCAGCTTGATAAATCTTCAATATCTATTTAATTTTTTTTTATAACTGAAAATACTTTTCCAATGACTTTAGATAATCTGATTATAATTTGCACTGAAAAAAATACAAAACATGGCAACTTGCCATTATTGCAAGATTTTCTTACAACTAAAATACAGTACTGTACATATAAAACCCTTAAGAGTTGACCAATTTCTTTCAAATAAAGGAAAAAATGTTGCTAAAATCTCTGGTTTAAAATAGCAATATAAAAAGATGTAATACCTGTATAGACAAAATGACAATTGACTTGTGGTCCCTTAATCAACCCTAATCTTGACTAGAAGAGTTAAAAATTTACATATGCTAACCTAAATCTGTTTTGGTAGGCGAACTGCCAGACACCCTCAATGGCAGAGCGGCAGTTCTTCGGAACATAATTCTCATTGAACATTGTAATAAGACCCTGGTTCTTGTCAAGCTCGGCACATGCCTCCTCCAGTGACGGCTTGAAGTTTGGTGGGAAGGTTTTACACCCAGCTGAAAGCAACAATTAGAAGTTTTTACTACAGTGAAGATATTTTAGATAATACTAGGAAAGCTGTGTGTAATTCATCAAGTTATTGATAAAAGATTTGAAAATACTAAAAAAATAAAACTATTGTACAATATTAAAAATATTTCCCCCTTGTTTCAAGCCCCTTGTCCTACCCCTTTGTACCCTGATAGGCAAGTTAGTATCTTAAACTTAAAATTTCTACTCCAGTTTATATGAACTGTTTATACATCCTACCACACCCTACTTCAACTTACTCGCACTCTTCTCCAGAACGTTGACAGTGCGGATGTGGAAGCGGATGCAAAAGTAGCATTCACCATCACGGAAGAGAAGAGCCTTGTAGTCATTACGGTAGACCTTTAGAGCAACACATTGGCCCACACCAGACATAACTGTGTTGTCTATGTCAGTGATAGTGTTGCGCCCCTTCTCAAAGCTGAACCATGAGCCTCGCATCAAGAACGGAATCACACAGTTTGCATGAACTTCTGCAAGTGGAAAAGTGAAAATAAAAATTAATGTGGCCAGAATTAAAAGACGGTATAAGTTTAAGGGAACCAAGGTACCAAATAGTCTGTGTACGTGTGGCTATCCTTGTTGAGTCAAGTTACATACAAATGGGTCTAATAACCTTGAATAATTGGGATCAGAGCGATCTGTAGACTTAAAAAGTTGTTAAACTATACTAACTACACAGTTTAGCATTTACACATTTTTCAACAATATGTACACATAGGAACATCACTGGCAAGTCATTCACGAGAATGGCTTACATGTCCTATAGAATGGACACTGCAGAACATGTCTGACTCAACAGTAAAGTGTTGACTTAATGAATTAGCCGCCTTATTAGCTGTTGTCAGGACTGACGAGTCATAAGTTGTGCCGGCCCTAATGCTGTTCAACCATCAGCCAATCACTAGCCACTGACAGATTTATCTAGTCCTAGTAGAGGATTGCCACAACTGCTTTGCTTCTCCTGAATTTTATGGGAATACTACAGAACCTATTATTGTAGTCAAGGGAGAAGCAAGTGGAGCAACACTGGAAATTATGGCCTTTTGGAGCTGGGGATGAGGCATGAATTGAAGCTAGAATAAAGAACCTGTGGATCTGAGGGAACAGGAGAGAAACTGAGCAAACTTAACAGAAGACTGTGAGTGGAATGGGAATTCTAGTGTAAAATTATAGAACAAAGGGAAAGCAGAGCTAAATAATGCAAGTTGAAGCTAGTGAAATGTAAAGTTACATTATGGGAACATTTTCCACAAAAATGTAGCCAAAATAATGAAATATGAAAGATAGCCAGATTCAGTAAATCTTTAAATGTACAAACTAGGGTACAGTATCGTCAATTCAAAAATTTTACAAATGAGCCTGCACCAATGCATATACAAAATGAGGCCAGGAACTCTTCAAATACCTGTAGTCCAAAAGCATACCGAGGGACAGTATGCCGCCTCAGTATATTGAGGGACATGCTGATATGTCTCTTTGTTATTAATGGACATACTATAACAAAAGGGATATTCACAGGGTGTTAAAAGTATCAAGACAGAACACGAAACAATGGGTATAAATTGTATAAGTTTATATTTCGGAACGACCTGGGTAAATACTGGATCGGTAGCAGGGTTGTTTGTGTTTTTTATTTATTAAAGCGCGAGTTGGACACGTATATGAGTGGGATTGGGTGGTTATAAATAGGAGCTACCTCGTATGGGCCAATAGGCCTTCTGCAGTTACCTTTATTCTTATGTTCTAAAGGTAACTGCAGAAGACCTATTGGCTCATACAAGGCAGCTCCTATTTATAATCACCCAATCCCACTTATACATGTCCAACCCACACTAGAAGTAGGACCCCTTGATTGTGTGAAGTGTAGGTTAGCCATGTACTAGTACTATATATGAATGAGATTGGGGGATATAAATGGGAGCCGCCTCGTATGGGTCAATAGGCCTTCTGAAGTTGCCTTCATTCTTATGTTCTAATGTGTCTGGCATCTCGGCAAGTCTTACAGCAAGGGCAACGTGCCGACTGTTGAACATATTGTCAAGAGGTTGCTGACGCATGGTTGTTTCCGGTGTTCCCGGATGTGTGAAGTGTTGGTCGGTCAGTAGTGGACAGTGGGAGGGATGGGTTTATTTTTTTAACAATTGATAGAGACAGGGCAAGGATGGATGATAAACTGCATCTGCCAATCTTTTGATCATTTCAAAACCCTATTTAGATAAAACTTGAAGAGCGAGTCTTCTTCCGTGTTAATTTCCTATTTTTGTATCTGCAAATTTAAGAACATACGAACATAACAAAGGCAACTGCAGAAGGCCTATTGGCCCATACGAGGCAGCTCCTATCTATAACCACCCAATCCCACTCATATAAGTGTCCAACCCACGTTTAAAACAATCGAGGGACCCCACCTCCACCACGTTACGCGGCAATTTGTTCCACAAATCAACAACCCTGTTACCGAACCAGTATTTACCCAAGTCTTTCCTAAATCTAAACTGATCCAATTTATACCCATCTTTTCGTGTTCTGTTTTGTGTTGATACTTTTAATACCCTACGAATATCCCCCTTGCTATGTCCATTCATCCACTTTTACACCTCTATCATGCCACCCAATTCTTCGCGTTCCCCCCCCCCTAAACTCCAGAGAATTAATGCAATTCAAGCTTTGTCCATCTTCCTTCGTATGACAGGCTTCTAATTTACTGAACAGTCATCCCACGCCGGACGCGTTCTAATGAATTTATATCCATTCTATAGCATGACAACCAAAATTGAACCGCACAATCCAAATGTGGCCAACAAGAGCAAGATATAGCTGAAGGACCTAAGAACACAAAGGCAACTGCAGAAGGCCCACCGGTCCACACGAGGCAGCTCCCACCTAAAATCACCCAATCTCAGTCCAATCCACGCCCGAAACAATCAAGGGACCACGGCACGCGTCAATTGGTTCAATAAACCAACAACCCCGCCACCGAACCAGCACTCTCCCAGGTCTTTCCCCAAATCCAAACTCATCCAACCCACACCCATTATTTCGTGTACTGTCCCGTGTTGATGCTCTCGACACCCTATTAATTAATATTACCCCCCTCCCCTCGGTTATGTCCATCAATCCACCCGCACACCACTCGGCCCCAGCATAGAGCCTGTACCTTGTCAAGCACGAGACGAAGCTGGAAAAAGTTCAGAGATATGCCACTAGGCTAGTCCCAGAACTAAGAGGCACGAGTTACGAGGAAAGGCTGCGTGAAATGCACCTCACGACACTAAGACAAGAGTAAGGGTTACAATATACAAAATTCTCAGGAACTGACAGGGTAGATAAGGATAAACTTTTTAACGCGGGTGGTACGCGAACAAGGGGACACATGTGGGGCACAAAATGAGCCACAGGGACGTTAGAAAACTTTAATACCCTACCAGTGTCAGCAGTTAACAAGTAGACTGCATTAGGCAGTGATGTTGTAGAGGCCGATTCCATACAGTTTTAAATATAGATATGATAAGAGCCCAGTAGGCTCGGGAAACTGTACTGCAGTTGATTGACGGTTGAAAGAGCCCAAAGAGCCAGAGTTCAACCCCCGCAAGCACAACTAGGCGAGTATACCACGTCACCCCCAATTTCCCACCCCCTTAGAGAATGCGGCTCAAGCCCCGCCAATCCTCCCTCATATGGCAGGTTTTCAATTGAGGGACCAACTCTTATCCCACGCTTGACGCCCTCTGGTGAATTTAAGAGCGCATGTTAACAAAAAGTATAGCCTATACCGTATAGAAGTATAGCTTATTTATGCAGCTATAATGAATAAAAAACTTAAATGTCATTAAAATGCCTGGTTATGATCAATTAAAGTATCCCAGATTTCATGACACGTCTTTCAACAGTTTTTAGTACCAAAGTACAAAAATTTAAATTGTACGATTATCTACAAAGCCAATTACCATCTATTGTCTGGTATTAGCACCTGCACTTAGGTCAATTACCTATAATTAGTCCATACCACACTTGTAGCAAACTTCGCTTATGACATAACTTCATTAGTATAATATGTATACATGTATAACCTACAGCTTATGTATTTACTCTTGTGCAGCAACCACCAACAATAGAATATAACACGGCCAATTGAAAAAATTGCAAATACTAGAGTACACTTGCAGCGTGCTTTGGTGTAAATGCATATTCGAACACGTGTCAAGTGCGCGCGTGCACATCCCCTATGCTGGTCTTCACACGAGACCGAGTAGGCTGCGTGTATACATATGAAGATGTGCAAGAGAGTACACACCTGTACGTGTGATAAATACACGCCTACTCCAGTTAGCCTAGTGTATAGGCGAGAACTAAAGCCTAGTGGAGTATGCCAAGTCGCTAATATTTAAATAGCCTTGCCTATGTATTTGTTCTATCAAAATTACTTTGATAAAATTCCCCCGCAAATCTGCACACTTAATTTCAGAACCATTATTGTTCTATCTGTTCTAAACTTCAACCATTATAATTTGAATATATTGTCTAGTCCTACTTTGGACTATTTTTAAGAATCATTTGTATGAAAATCTCTTCCATGTGTACATGTCAATCATGCACATATCCGGCCTACTCTACGCTATTCTGAATAAATGTAGTCTTTTGAACGCTAGTACACTCCAAAGCAACTAGTTTAGAATGATCTGTGCTACGATAGGAAGAAAAATTGCTCGGTCATTGATGGGTAAAGCTTGTGTACCGGGCCAGCAAGGTGGTGGATATAATTTGGGCCTGTGGGCCGCTCCAAATAACAGCCTGTTGGTCCAAATTACTTTACGTCGACCCTGACCCCATTTTTTAACATTTAAGTACATCTACAATTATGCAGCTACCTTAGATTATATGAACCTGCACTAGACTTTAGGAAGCATTATGAATATATCCACAAAAACTCGAGCTAATAACGTAATTGAGCTCAGGCAGTAGAACTCCCAGAACCCTCTCCAGGTATAATAATGATAGCTCATTCCACCATTGCCCTCAGAATGGTTATGAGATGCATAAATGATTAATAAATAAAGTCAGTGTTAATAAATGGAAACCATAGTCATTAAATGGCGTGATGTCACCACCAGAGTTCTGTATCCTGTTTCTGATACTGTATATGCAAATGATCTTCCAAAGGCTATAAACTCGTTCCTCTCAATGTTTGCTGACGATTGTTACGACCCTGGGTTCTCCAGTGGAAACCAGAGGTCAAAATTGAGCTATTAAACTTTCTGGTAGTACAGTTGAGTGCATCACGAATGGCAATTGTTTGTATCTTCCCTGCCAGACGTAAGACTATTATTGTTTCTCAAAGAGCATTTAAAGACTGAGCTGGGGGTTGATTATTAAATAATAACATAGGCACCAACTTTGCTTACTAATACTTTCTAATCATTTGTAAAGTAACAATACGTTGCATAGGGGGAGATCTTTAATGTGCTTAGCTGCACGATCAATTAGGCTCCTTCCGGCACCACGACATGGGAGGCCTAGCTGGTCGCTAGGAGGTTCTTCTCTGGCTGGCGTTCGTGCGGACGAGACCTACTCTGTGGCTGCACCCCCTAATCTCCTCCCTTCTCCTCTTACTTATTTCCCTTACCTTAAGTTCCTGTACCATTAAGTTAAGTATTGTATGATTTCTAAGTGTACCTACTCTGGTAGTAACGATTGGCGAGACCTGGGGGTAGTAGTTGCCAGTGTTTGGGGTAACCCTAAGTGTTGTGTTTTGTGTTAGGGTACCACGTGGGGTCTCACTACCCTAAGCTGCATCCAGCTTCAGTGCTTATCCAGTAGTACTTTACCCTAGCTTGTTATTAGTGTAAACCTTGTATCCTGCCTATGTGGACCAAGGCTTTTAACGTAAGGTAGTGTGGTAAAGTTATTATTATTGTTATTGGTGTGAGTGTATATGGGGGGGTTGTTAAGGGGTTAATAAATAAGTACATGAATTACAGAGTATCCCTTCTTCCTGAGTGGGAGTGCATTGATCAACCCTTAGACTAACATTTGGTCTAGTAGCAAGTTATTACTACTGTGGATAGTTTATTTTGGGGGCCGGGCCTTTTAGCTCTCCCATATTTGATACTGTCTTCTAACTACCCTTACCCCTTAATAGTACCAGTTCCCCATAGAAGCCCCACACACCATATTTTATAACAAGGATGTTAAAATTATTAGACAGGAGGACAGCAAGAGACAAGATCTGGATGTTTATCACGCCAGACCTGGCCCCTGAAGCCCACGACAAAAGGATATCAGCGGTATGTGCGAGGCTTGCTAACTTAAGAACTGTCTTTAGACACATGCGTAAGGAATCATTCAGTATCTTTTTTATATCTCTTATGTCAGATCAACACAGGAGCATGCGTCGCCAGCGTGGAGTCCATCTCTACTCAAAACACCTGCAAGGTGGCCTGACGGCTGAGTGGACAGCGCTCGGAATTCCTAGGACAGTCCGGGTTCGATCCCCGGCAGAGGCGGAAACAAATGGGCAGTTTCTTTCACCCTGATACACCTGTTCACCTAACAGTAAATAGGTACCTGGGAGTTAGACAGCTGCTACGGGCTGCTTCTTGGGGGGGGGAGGTGGACGAGAATTTACAGTTGAGAGGCGGGCCCAGTGAGCCAGAGCTCGACCCCCGCAAACAGAACTAGGAGAGTACAAAAGGAAGTTTGAAAAAGTTCAAAGGTATGGCACCAGGCTATCCCAGAGCTGTGAGGTAAAGGAGAAAGTACCGGAATTAAGCCTTACGACACGAAAAGACGATTCCTACCAATAAAATAACAGGTTGAAACCGAGTACCCAAATGAGCCACAAACGTTAGAAACATTTTTTCAATGTCGGTAGTTAAATGGAATGCATTTGGAAGTGATGAGGCCGACTCCATACACAGTTTCAAATGTAGACAAGAGCCCAATAGACTCAGGAACCTATACACCAGATTAACACTTAACAGGTGGGACCAGAGTCGAAGCTCACCCCCCGAAAGGACAACTAGGCGAGTACATTTGGCTTAGTGTGTAGTCAAGATTATTTCCTTGATAAAGAGATCGTTTAATGCCCGTCCTCTAACTGCCTGAAGGCTGGTACATTAATCTACACCTCGGCCAGCTTAAATTGGATGCCTTACTGCGTTACTTCATTTAGATTACTAAATGCGTTTTAATGTACAAAGTCATGGTGTTAAGGCCAGATATAAGAGTTACAACTACAATCATTAACGTTAACTCTCCGGCCAAATAGACAAAATATCGTTACGAGGTTACATATAATTAAAGAAACAGAAAACTTAGTATTCATTATGAAGTAAATTAAGTTCCGTGAAAAAATTTTGGAATAATTTTTTAGAGATTTCTTCACAAAACTATTTGACACAGCAAGATTGAAATACATTTTGTTGGGAATAATACAAGGTCCCACGAATCAAAAGATTGGCACATCCAGAAACACGCACAGCCCACTGTTTGAGGAGAATAATTTTATGGAAAGCTGTTGTATCAGATTAAATAATTATTCAATCTGATAAAACGACCTATACAAACTTTCAATACCATCACCCTCCCCTGTACCAGTATAGGCTACGAAGCAGCTCAAACACCACTTGTACAAATCATTCCAGTTTGACTATTCATGGTCCCTCCCGTCTTAGGAGATTAAGAGATAATAAGGAAATAGGCTGACACCAGCCCAACCCATCCTTGGAATGGAGGGGACGGGAGGGGGGGGAGGTATACGAAACAAGGGGCGGGGTGGTAACTTCAACTATGTATACTTCCAAACAACTATATCCACATACTTTTCCTTCTCTACACGCCTATACAAAGTTCACAATTTACCACCTCCCCCATTAAGGCTGGCCAAAGTATCCAAGGGACCACCTGCATTACCAAAAAATTTAAAATGACAAAAAAATCATTGTTTTGGTCAAGCACGGTACGCAGAGCCCCAGTCCTCTTTCTACCTCTTATATTCCTCCACAGCAATTCCCCTTTTCTCGCCTTCCTCTTGTCTTTATCACTTACCCCTCACGTCCGTCCACACCAGCAAGAGAAGCAACACGAAGAACCTCGGTAATAACGCCATTTCACTATAGAATTAGGCACAGCGCGACATAGTCCACAAGCTCTAAGGCCTCGACTGAGGATGGTCGTGTGTGTGCCTCAGAGGAAGGTGTCGCCTCATACACATTACTACTACCATTTTCCTCTATCTCCTTCTGCTGTTAGAGGCTATCTAGCCATGATATATTAGGTAGTTCACGCATATTTCCTAGTTACGCGAGGTATACCCCTGATATATTGCTACATTATTGTATTTTAAACTAAATACATATTTCTAAAGTGGTAACTATCCTTCACGGTAACTATGAAATATACTTCAGTAGTCAATGAGTAGATATATTCATTATCCTTGGCTTATATTCACCGTAAACGCCACCTAATCCCTTAAAGAGTAAATTACTTCCATCATTCATTACTATTTCCTAAATAAACTTTTATAATATTCGGGAGTGAATGGGATCGATTATATTGCCTTTGGTAATGTTAGGAGACAATACGCGGTCAGTGGTGTCACCTAGCGGCCAGGTAGCAAACTATCGCACCACAGAAAACGTATTTTCATCAGATTTTTTTAATGGATGAATGGCGCAAAAGTGAAATTTGAGATTTTTGTTTTGTTTTACTCATTTAAACAATAAAATTGATACATTGGTAGGCTTAGCTAGGTCCACGTGGTCAAGGACGAGGCGTGCCATGTGGTTACTCTTCCCATTACTGTCATACTTGTCTTTATAGACCAGTGCTTATATTTATGTCTCTGTAAAACCAATGCTTCTGTCTCTGTAAAGCAATGCTTTGGTCTGTCTCTGTAGACCAGTGCTTCTGTCTCTAGACTAGTGCTGCTTCTCGCTTGTCTCTTGACCAGTGTCTCTGTCTCTCTTTTGACCAGTACTTCTGTCTCTCTAAACTAGTAATTGTCTGCTCTTCTGCCCTTTGCTTCTGTCTGTCTCTCACAACTGACCAGTGTTTCTGTCTGTTACAGTATGCTCTATCAGGACTTCAACACCTACACTGTTACTGTATCAGGGGTGTTACACCTACACTGTTACAGTATACTGTATTAGGGGTATAACACCTACACTGTTACAGTATATTGTATCAGGAGTCCTACAATGTTACAGTATAATGTATCAGGGGTGCTACACCTACACTGTTACTGTATAATGTATCAGGGGTGCTACACCTACACTGTTACTGTATAATGTATCAGGGGTGCTACACCTACACTGTTACAGTATACTGAATCAGGGGTGTTACACCTACACTGTTACATAATACTGTATCATGTGTCCTCCATTTAGGCTGTTACATTATACTGTGTCTGGAGTCCTGGGATGATATTTGTGGCTCTACGTTGCAGTTTCTCCAAGGCAGACATATGTCCTTCTGCAGATGAGGTTTCCAAGCCTTCATTTAGTAGTTCAGATTCGTACACCTGAATAACCACTTTCTTCTCCTCGAAGTCCCTGGTGACCTCCCAGCCGTACTCGTCTTACCCCAAGGCGTCCAGCAAGGTCTTGATGCTGTTGTAATTCTCTTTGAAGGGCCCCAAAACTCATTCATATGGTTTCACGTTTTCCACTCTCAGGGTCACGGAGACTTTTATGCTTATTTTTGTTTTTATTTTATTTATATATACAAGAGTTCTTACATTCTTGTAAAGCCACTAGCACGCATAGCGTTTTGGGCAGGTCCTTAATCCAAATGTTTGCCCGGAATACGACCCGCCAAATAGTTTTACAAGTACCCTATCATTGCCAGGTAAACAGAGGCTACAGCTAAGGATTGGTGCAGACGATACATTGTCTCTAGGAGAGACAAGCGAACATTGTCTCTAGGAGAAACAAGTGAACATCGTTCTTACGAGAGACAAGTGAACATTGTCAATGAAAAACAAGTGAAAATCACTGCAGGAAAGCTTTACACCAGAAATAAATACTGAAGACTAGAAACGCGAAGGGGACAATGAAGTATCGCTGAAGCTTCAGAAGCTTGGCGGGAGTGAACTTACTCCTGGAGGAGATCTTACTCTTGGAGAAGGACTTCGGCCCTGTGAGGCTCGAGACTTTGATGCAACGTTCCTCCGGGTGGAGAGGAAGATATTCGGCGAAGACGTGGACCATGATGTTGCTAAAGATGAGGAAGATGATGAAGAAGAACCAGACATCGATGAGTTTGATCTCCGCCGTGGAGGGGAGGGAGCGAGAGAGATTAGAAAACATGGTGTACAGAACGAGGAGGCTGGTGAGGGCCATGGTGGCGCGAACGTTTAGGTTCTCTATCTTCACGAAGAGCGTGGCCCAGCTCACCAGCAGCAGCAGCACTGTTGGCACGAAGGTCGTCAGCACCACGATGCCTGAACGACGCTTCAAGATGAAGTCGACGGACATAAGAGCAGGTTGGGTGTGGTTCCTAAGGGTGACGCCCTGCACGGTGTACAGAGGGAGGTGTTCGGCGCCAATATACTCAGCCACGCCCTGCTTGAAGGCGAAGACAGCGTGGTCCTTCAGTTCAGTGGACAGCTGGAGCTGAATCTCGCACAACTGGGAGTCGAAGGGGTAAAAATATAGCTGGAAATCGCAGGTAAACGTGCCAATGAATTTTTTCGTCTGCGTCAGAGAGTTTTTTGTCCCAGGGAACAGCGTATCTGATGGATATATTACACATTTATTATTATTAGTAGTAGCGGTAGTAGTGTAGTAACAGTGTAGTAGTAGTGTAGTATTAGTGTAGTAGCAATTGTAGTAGTAGTAGCAGAAGTAGATATTATCATTATTGTTGTTATAACCAGAACGATAACACATTTAATGTAAGGCAATTTAGAATCAATGATTAGAGTCATTTTAATACTTTGGTTACTATGTTATTATGCAGGAATTCAAAATTTCGAGAGTAAAAAATATTAATATTGGAAGTTAATAATGTAGCAGACCATGTTAAATAAGGAACTATATAAAAATGTCCTGATACGTTATTCAAGAAACTTAAAAATACTTAAAAATAAGAAGTATATACACCATATGTTCGAGTAATTTTAGATAAAAGTCACATAGCACCCACCCATGTTGAGTCGGTTAAACTCTGGCTTCAATTGGTCGGAGCTTCTCTCCACGGCGACAGTCTCCTCCAGAGTCTTAATATTTCCTCGGTATATGTTCTCAAACTTGTAGTCAGGGAGCCACATGCTGTCTTGGTCACTCCTCGAGATGAGGCTGGCTCGTTGAGAGTCCTGGAGGTTAGCGAAGGTGAGGCGGTGGTCCAGCCAGGAGAGCGAGACCTTCAGCTCCATGGACACTGTCATACTGATATCTTCGATGGCATCAAACCTAGTGAGGATGATGTGGGGATGGAGGCCCAGTTTCTCGCCTGTCTCGGGATTCACAGGAGTCAGGTAGTTCCTGTAGCCCTTCGGAAGTAATAAGAAATTACAGGTTTCTTCGTCGCTGCCGTCATGACAGTCGCTCCTGAGGTTACACCGTTCAGTAGAGGGGATGCACTCTCCGTCTCTGCACATGTATTGGTCGTCATCACAGGCGGAGAGACTGAGTTCTATCTCGTCGCCTGCCGGAGTGTCGCAGATGGTGCTATGGAGCATCCAGGTGTTGCGTCCAATGGGGTAGTGCGTGGCGGTATCAAAAGTAGTCGTGGCGATAGTTATATTGGTTTTGGTGTCGGTAAGGTACCAAGTGTTGTTCGAGAGCCAGTGGATTAAGAGGTTGTAATACCCTCTGTACATGGGTTTACCACTCATGTACCCGGTCACCGCGAAGCGCTGCTGATGCTCATTATCAAAGCACAGACCTCGAAGACGGAGAAAGTCGGAACCTTGGTAGTAACAGGCGGCGCATTTCTTGTTTCTCTCGTCACAAATATCGTCCTCCCAGGCACCGTCGCTGCGCATAACTAAACAGTTATTGACCGTCCCGCCGTTAGGAGCCGGAGGGTAAAACCGGTTGAAAATCATCAAGTCTCCAGTACCGTCAATTCGCCACTTTCCTTCTACTGTCCCGTCTGAAGCACCCAACCAAAGCTTTCTGACGTTGGTGACGGCGCAGACGTCCATGAAGCCCTGAAGCGCGTCTAGGAGTCGCTGGTTTTCTTCGCCAGAAGTGGGTAGGGCCAAGGAGGCGTTAGTAAGGACACACTGTCTCCGTGCGTCGGTGATGCTCTGGGTCTCTGGCAGCAAGACGTACCTTGGGAGAGGACTGGACCAGGGACGTCACATTAACAACATAAGAAGGAAGGAACACATACGAGACAGGTTTCATTTAGACCCAACAACTTCCACTCACGTGTTTATCCATCATATCTTTTATACTTATTAAATAATATGATGTGGTATTAGTAGAATCTATTGAAAAGAGAGAGACAGAGAGAAGTCTCACGAAAAAAATACAAGAAGACAAAATAAAAAGGGATCCAGATTTGTCAAGGTCTACCAGTGCTCAAAATCAGGTGGCTGTTCTATAAATTATCTGACAATCTAAACGAAAGAAGACCCTCAAGGCTCCCCGGGTTCGACCGAACACTTCCTCATCTACCTGCAGAAGTGGCTCAAGTGGACCCACTTCTCCGTCACGTCGCCGAAAAGCTCCAAGTTAACGGTGTCTGAGGAGAAGACGGCCCGGGGCGGCGAAGCCATGCAGGAGGCCATGGTCCTCACCTCCTCCTGCGTCACTAGTCGGTCCCAGAAGCTCACCTGAGCCAGCTCCCCCAGCAGCACCTGTGTGTGTACCACACACCATCAAACACCACACACCATCAAACACCACACACCATCAAACACCACCACACACCATCAAACACCACCACACACACCGACAGTTTACAAGTCCTGAAATTAACGTTCCTATGTCTTCTGAATGAAATATATAAACTATTTTTGATGATTAATGAAAGAGATTATTAAATATATATATATATATATATATATATATATATATATATATATATGCAGAATAACCACATATGAAAAATAGAAAATGCTTAACGCGTTTTCGGCTAATTCGCCTTCATCAGAGCAAAGAAGAAGGAGCAAAGATTCTTCTTTGCTCTGATGAAGGCGAATTAGCCGAAAACGCGTTAAGCATTTTCTATTTTTCATATGTGGTTATTCTGCATACTTGGATCAGTGTTTTTGTGATCATTGTTGCATATATATATATATATATATATATATATATATATATATATATATATATATATATATATATATATATATATATATATACTAGACCACAGTAATAGTCGGTCCAGGTAAATGAAAAGTTTATTCCCAGGGAAGAAAAAGCATAATACATATATTGAAAGACCAAAGGCTTCCTTAAGCAAAAGAATATTTAACAAATATTATACTACTTTTTTATAACTCAAACTTATACTACTTTAAAACATCATTCGTTAAAGGCTCCAAGTTAGCTCCAAGAGCACTTATACTTCATAGCTTGATTCCCACTTGCACACTTGGCAAGTTCGCTAAGTGGACTAAGTGACACCATCCCTACAAACACCTCACTTGTATAGTAAACATGGTGATAGTGACAGTAACTGACAATCCTCCTCTCTATACGTAAACACATATTACATATATATCAGCCAGTCTACACTAGTACGTCAATTACAATGATACGATAATGTAATTCATTAACATATAAAAGAGTCAATGCTGTAGACATCTGAAACTTGTTTAAAGAATTAAAGCATCACTACACTGAACGATGTAGCCCATTGCTTTACATTCATAATTAAGATTCCCAAATCCTTTCGTTCTACAGCTACCTTGAACAATGTACCAAGGAGCGCCCCTGCAGACAGTCACAAGCCTTAACCTCTCAACCACCACTTGAGAACACCGCCAGGTATAGACCTTCTGTATAATGCTACTTAACAATCCTTCCTTCGTCTATATCCACGCGCACCCTCTCCGAGAGACTCAGACACAGTTCAAGATGGTACACGACCAAACACCACATTCACTCCAAACATCTACCGCTTCCGGGCTATTCATCCTCGTGCCACCTCTTGTAGTGGCCTAACCTTCACCAATCAACCAATCGTCCTCCTCCAGCAGACGACTCCAGGGAACGACAGGAGAACCAGCTGTCTCAGCACACTGCCTGAGGAGCACACATACAAGGAACATCTTCCAAGACAGGTATACCTTTCAGCACCTTCAGCAAACACACGCTGGTAAGTCTATAGAACCCCACGTCCAGCAGTCTTTCATGTCTTCACTGTTTGGGGTCCAAGTCCTGGAACACACCTGCATCTTACCTGGTTGGGGTCGAACCCTTGGGACACTCCGTCCTGTTCTTGTCCCAGGATGAGAGTACCGTTGGTAAGGAGCGGCCCTCCGTCACCCAGTATCTCCCCCGTCAGGTACTTCTGCGGGTGAATTCAGGCGTCAGAAGGTGAATGAAAGGTCGAAGTTTGGGCTGCGGGAGAGAACACATCTGGCCGGGCTATCCACCCGGACTTTCATTTGCGCTTGCGAAGTGTAGTCAACACAGTCGTCTCACAACCAAATAGTTCCGGGTTCGATTTCTGTGCAGTATACAACCCACAAACGTTGCCAGAATCCTAGATAACTGTTTACTGCTAGATTGACATAATCCTCAGGTGTAAAGGGACGTAGGCAAAAGTCTCGCTTTCCTTGCACGGGAATCGAATCTGGAACTATTCAGTTGTGAGCCAACTGCGCTACAAGTCACCATTAAATGTAAATAATGATGTCACATCACAACACCGATCGCATTCTGTGCAGCATCTTTATCATGCCTAAAACTGTAACCACTGATACAGGTCATCACTCACACCGGAGGCGGTAAACAACACAACCCAGCGTAGTTTGACCCCAGCACTGCAGAGGGCAGTGCAACAGCTCCAGAAACACATGTTGGCTATTCATATAATAAAATAAAATAGAATAAAACTCGTTCTGTTTGGGTTTTGACTCGAATAAAGGCAAATGACATCATAGCCAAATTTTGTCTGTACGCAATTTACTGAACAACCTTGGTAGGGTTGACCAATCGACCAATCAAAATGATCAAAATAAATGACCATTTTGATTGGTTATTGATCAGTAGTAAGGCCCTCGGCACTGTTTGTTATAAGGACGTGACACTACACCGTGCTAAGCGGTATCCAGTGGTGCTCAGTGTCAGGCACCAGTACTGTGCTGTAAGAGGATATTATATCATACCATCCAGACATATATTGACCTTCCTCCAGGTTGTGTGTACACATATACCTGGCCCCTTTCCTGCTCTCCCGAAACCCACTTTCAGTCCTTCCAACACCAACTTTCGGTCCTTCTAACACCAACTTTCGGTCCTTCCAAAACCCACTTTCGGTCCTTCCAACACCAACTTTCGGGGACTTTCTTTCCGTTACTCGCTGTTTCCTGCTGTTTAAGTATTCCCTTATCCACTGCAGCACCTTCCCTTTTACTCCTGCCTGTTGCTCCAACTTTTTTAACAGCCTTTTATGGGGTACTGTGTCAATGGCTTTCTGGCAGTCCAGGAAAATGCAGTCGGCCCACTCTTCTCTTTCCTGCCTAATTTTTGTTGCCTGGTCATAGAATTCTATTAAACCTGTGAGGCACGATTTACCATCCCTGATCCCATGTTGGTGGTGCGTTACAAAATTATTTCACTCCAGATGCTCTACGAGCCTCGAGCCTTTTCCTCACGATCTTCTCCATCACCTTGCATGGTATACAAGTTATGGAAACTGGCCTGTAGTTCAGTGCCTCTTGCATGTCACCCTTCTTGTATATTGGGACTACGTTAGCTGTCTTCCAACTTTCTGGTAAGTCTCCTGTTTCCAGTGACCTGTTATACACCATAGAGAGTGGCACACTTAGTGCTTCTGCACCTTCCTTTAGTATCCATGGTGAGATTCTGTCAGGCTTCTCAGGCTTGTCAGTGAGATTCTGTGTGTGTGTGTGTGTGTGTGTGTGTGTGTGTGTGTGTGTGTGTGTGTGTGTGTGTGTGTGTGTGTGTGTGTGAGAGTGCGTACGTGTGTGCGTGCGTGTATAAGAAAGGGAAATAATGGAAAACAGACACCAAAACAAAGAAAATGATAAACGTTTGAAGGAGAAATTGTCGAGGGAACAAAGACAATGGACCAGCAAGTGCACTGTCAACACCTTCCTCACATGTCCTCCTGGTTGACCTTGGGGAGGGGGGTGCGTATGACCAAGCACAACTTGGTCATAAGCACAACTTATGACCAAGTTGTGCTTCTCTCGCACCTCCGTCTTGTGCTCACACTCACCAGCATAAAGAGACCAATATCACCACTAATACAAGGCACTATAAGAAATCAGCGATGTATACACACCTGCATTAGTACACTTGTGTACATTGGTCATACATTATACAAACATTATACACGAAGTGCCAACACAGCCAAACTTGCTCTGAAATTCATGTTAAAAATGCCTTTATATTCTTAGAAAAATGGAGGTTTAGACCACAAAGTCCGGCTGGTGAGAAGAGATGTTTCTGTGTGTAATAACACAGTTGAGAGGGATTTAAAGTTGATTGAATTTCTTATTGTTGGGAATACGAAGCCTGTTAGGCTAATCGATGACCCCCCCCCACCCCTAGGTCAACTACTAACCTACCCCAGGATGCTACCCACAACAGTCAGCAAACTCCAGGGGGTACCTATTTACTGACAGGTGAACAAAGCCATCAGGAGAATCAAATGTTGCCCAAAACGCTATACTGTCCTGAAGCAGCAACTGTCACACTGACTTAGCGCGCCCATCATCCTGCAATACAAGACCACTTTGCGTCATGTTGCAAAGGTGATTGCAAATAGGAGAGGTGACCAAAGGTACTTCACATCAAGGAACACCAAAAATCGGATCAAGTGAGCGCGTAGTACTGTACCGGATATTATTTCCCAGCCTTGATGTACAAGTCCGGTTCCTCGATTGTGCTGCAAACGTACAGAATCCAACGTGCTAACCTGGCCAGAAACGCACGAACCCAAGCCACCCACCTAACCTCTAACCAATCGATCCATAGAAAACGTTGATTTTTGTTGGGCCGGAACTTTTGATAGTTGGTTGTATATGGTACGTTGGTTACCATGACGTAACATAACGGCGTGTTGGTGGAGAGGATGGGTTGGATGGACGCACGCACGCACGCACGCACGCACGCACGCACGCACACACACACACACACACACACACACACACACACACACACACACACACACACACACACACACACACTATAACAATACTGCAGTAATATTTATGTGCTCCACACCTCACGTCTTGGGTGCATTAAATAACTGTTAACGTGTTTAATAAGTAGTGAGTGCCGCGGCCAGTGCCACTCTTGCTTCTCCCTTACCTACATGTTGTGTACTCACCTGTACTCATCCTGTTGTACTCACCTTGTGCTCACCTTGTTGTGCTTGCACGGTCGGGCATCTGCTCTTAAACCTTGTTGTATATTTTTGGACCTTTACCTTTTCTAGTTATATTTAGTGTATCTTTAGATAGGGGGTTCCATGCTGGGGCAGCATACTCAATAACAGGTCTCACAAAGGGTGTATACAGCGCTCGGAAGGAATCCTTGTCTAAGTTGCTGAAGGATAACGGGACGTTATCATATGCTAGTATGGCATATTCTGCCCTCGTTATCCTGCTGATGAGTGCCTCTGGTGTTGGATCTCCAGTTATGTCACTCCTAAGTCTCTCTTTTTCAGAAGGTGGAAGTTGCCTTCCCTTCATCCTGTGCTGTATTTGAGGTCTTCTTATTCCAACTAATCTCATTATAACCTTGCATTTATCAGGGTTGAAATCTAGTATCCATTTCTCAGACCATGTTTGGAGATTGTTAGCTTCATATTGTAATGTACTGCTGGTCTCTTCAGTTCTGATTCGCCTCATTAGATTAGCATCTGCATCAAACATGGATAAGAATGACCTCACTTCCTCTGTTTGATCGTTTACATGTCTGAGGAGCAGGATGGGCCCCCAGTACCGACCCTTGAGGTACTCCACTCATTACCTCTCACTCTAATCTGATAGTTCTCTTATTATGACTCTGTCTTCTTCCTATAAAGATTATGAACATTGTGAACAGGTGAAAAAACAGCTTAACACTCTGTGGGAAAACAAATCCAGATTTCGGATAATGTGAACAATTAAAGACGCCAATATTTTTTACAAGAGGACCACTGGGGCCGACACCATCTGACCATCGACATTCCCATACCACCCACGTATCATTTTGAAAAGTTGGGTGAGGCTTCCTCCAAGTATCTGCCCCCAGTTTTGGACAGAAAGAAATTATCTTTCTTTTTAGTTGTCTATATATTGATCAGAAAATATGAAACACTGTCTTACTATTCATTTAATAACTTTTGACATTAAATGATCACACTTTGAAAATCACTGCACTCTAACCACTTGCTGAATGATACCTGGTGTGACTAGGCAGTACTGGGGGACCAACGGCTAGGAGGCACACTTGGGAACGGGTAATGGAGCTAGCAGTGATTTCAGTGAGCGAGGTCACTACAAGCTGGCAGCAGATGGATGAGTACAAGTCTAGGTACTATAAGTACAGGGTTAGGCTACCCTCGCTAATAGGGTCGGTGTCATTGGTCAAATTACGTTGCTGTAAAAAGAGAATCTTTAAGTCACAGTCGGTCTGTCCCGCCAATACCAGGTAGGTACTTAGTATAACAATAGCATATTCAATTACCCGCATCACATTAACTTCATCAAATTTGTAGCACCACACACAAGCACGGATATACGCACACGTGAACACTCACACATGTATTAGGCTATTTACGCAGCAATAATATATGGAGATCCGGTCACGAAGAGCAGAAAGCCTCGCGCCAAATATTGATCAAGCGAAAAGAGTAATGACTATCAATAGAGTAGAAACATTTGTTGACTATTGGCAACAAGGACACTATTTTTTCCTCGGGTTATTGTGCTTGCGGGGATTGATCATGAGCTCTTGGGATCCGCCTCTTGACCATAAATGGTATGGTTTGCGCAGCCTAGGCCCGACGGAGCTTAGCCTTCATATATCTCTTGTCTCTCCTCATAACCATGCATCTGTTTTGGTTGAATTCTTATTTCCGTTCCTAGTCTCATTACGTTGCATTTGTCTGGGTTAAAGTCCTGTAGCCGTTTTTCAGACCAGCTCTGGAGTGTGTGCAGTTCGGCTTGTGGTATTTCGCAGTCCCACACCTGTAGAGGTTACTTAGTCGCTGCAGGTATGTAGTAGTACCACATGTGGCCAGGACAAGTGTGTGCAGAGGCTACCTGACGTGTGTATTGACACCATAACTAAAATATAACAGGTATGTAGAGACACTATGACTCACTA